AGTTTTAAGTTAATGATTTGGTCATATAACCCTATTTAAATGCGTTTAAATTTATTTGAACTTCACCTAAATCCGAATTATTAGCTTAAAAATTATTCTTGACACAACTCACCAGGTTTTTGTTCACCACTGCAGTAGCCAGTCCAAACAATGTAAATAGTGTAAATAGTTACAATACTTCATCTCAGAAATGGAGACAGATATTATCTGTAATAAAATATAATCCTTGGTCGTCAGCAAAACAGTCAGTCCAGGAATGTGAACTGTATATTGGGGATGTTAAAACCAATTCGATGCAGAAATTTTAATTTTTTAAACGTATAGGAAATGATGCATTTTGAAATCAAATCAAAATACCCAGATACACGTAGATTTCATTAGAAGCAAAGAAAAGTCTATCGATGTGCTATGTAATATATAGGGCGACCCAGCAAAATTCACACTTATTTTGTAGTGTAATAACATAGTCAATACTTGCGCAAATGATCACAAATTTTAATAAAATGTGTAAAAAATAAGTAAACTGTGCGGTCTTATCTCAACGACAATGGGCACTTTCGTATTCTGACCATGATATCCGGTTTCGAATCACACCATGGTCGATTTGTCAGGAAGGAGATATTCCTGATGTTATCAGACTAGAGGGGTCGATCCTAGTGTGCAGCACCTTTGGAAAGTACCTGAAAACCACACCACACGTTGACCCAAGCCTTGTGAGTGAAATTTGATAGACGGGACCCTTGGGTTTCTTCTTTAGCTGTGCTAGCACGAAGTCACAAGTCATCGTGGCTGAGGGCTTGTTCAAATTGTTGATCAGGCTAGATAACACACCCTTTCCCAGAAACTGTAACAGCGTTGCAGTATAAACCAAAATGTGCCTAAGCAAGCGTCTGCAATAGGGATTGGCTAGTTCGTTAGATCTGGACGTCGTTCAACTGCCACCACCGAGGAAAACGTTGATCGTGTTCACCACATGGTAATCGGTGTCATGCGATTGACTGTAAATCAAATGAACGATCCTATTAGCCTATCCCGTGAGATTTGCGAATATTTTGCAATGAAATTGGCATGACGAAGGTTTCTTCTCGGTGGGTTTCACGTCTTATGACACTTGATCAAAAGCGCATCAGGCTGGTCACATCGCGCGAAAATCTGACATTGTTTGAGGCAGATCCAGCTGGTTTTCTTGAACGTTTCCCAACCCGGAATGAGCCAGAGACTAAGAGACAAGTCATGCAGAAATAACCTTGGAAAGTTATGAACTATGGGTTAAATAGCAGGACAAACTGTGTTCTTTATACTTGGTTGGCAACCAATTAAACGCAGAAAAAATGGCAAAATCTGCCTCACAAACTCAGTCATGTATCGAAAGAAACATGATCACACAAGCGTGTATCACGTATGGCACTTAACTGACTATTCTTGAAATGGCTACCCCGTTCACCTGACACCGTGTATTTTTTCTATGCGAAAGTACAGATAGCCTAGCGAAACTAAAGCAGATAATTATCTAGTCACAGAGGCAATGTTAAGCAAGACATGCTACAACGTGCTTGACAGGAGGTGGACTAGCTGACGTATCACAGGTTGTGTGCCTATTGAATATTTGTGAAGCCTTGTGAAATCAGTTATAAAATCTACATCCCATCGAATAACTTTGGAATTTTGGTAAATAAATCTTTTTATTGCACAACATGAAGCCTGTTTAATTTCGATTGCCCGGCTTGTGTAATAAGTCAATGGCGTTTAATATTTTTGTTGTGTATTCTCAAAGAAGAAAGAAAATGTATAAATTCACATCCACCTGCGTTGGTTTTATTAAAATTTTAATCATCGCTTAAAAAAAATAACACTCATCAGCGCGGATGTGAAAGTAATTCAAATTTTAGTGGGGTCAATGGCGACAGATGTCCTTTCGACACAATGCTTGATTTCGCGTACGAAGGTTAATTATTGCCGATTTTTATAGATACAAGTACTACTATTTAACCCATAGCCTTGACTGGGTGAACAAGTGGCAGAATAATGGAAAAAGTGGCTGTGAAATATGAGAAGCTTCGACACAATGCTTGATTTGGCGAACGAAGGTTAATGATTGTCGATTTTTATAGATACAGTGTAACCCGGATATAAGAGAGTTGTCGGGACCGGAGAAGAAGTCTCTTATATCCGGGTTTGGTCTATTTTATATACATTAACACAGGCTCTAATTTGGGACCAGAGAAAATCTCTCTTATATCTGGGTTTCTCTTATATCCGGGTCTCTTATATCCGGGTTACACTGTACAAGTACTGCTATTTAACCCATAGCCTTGATTGGGTGAACAAGTGGCAGAATAATGGAAAAAGGGGTTGTCAAATATACCGAAGAGCAACAAAAACACAAGAAGGTGAAAACCATCATAGCCCACGGCCTGGAGATGAGTAAATGTTCCATATATTGAATCGTCCGATGAGGCGATGTCTTCTGAAACTTCCCGGTGTCGGTGGTCGGGTCCTTTTGGCTGTTGAGTTTTAAAGTATTTTTATAAGCAGCATTTTTAACATGATTGAACCGAGTGGTGTGAAACAATGTTTCATTTCTTACCAATATTCGAATTACGTGAGAAGCTTCATTGCCTTGAAGGTTCAATTTTAAGTAACATTTCAAAATTGCGCAAACCTCTTTATTCATATATTCACATTTTAAATGATGCCAATTTTTTTTTTTTTTTTTTAAGGGGGGTCTCTATATAATCTCCCCAGTCGATGAATTCCGGAGAATTCCTTCAAAGACGAGGAAAAGAGTTGGAGTAACAAATATGTTGTTTTGTTTTCGATGAATGCTATGAATGCCATTGAGAGAAGACATAAACATCTGGGAATATTCGAACTCAAAGACTTACAATTACAATCGATAACAGACAGTTGAAATTTCGGGGACAGATAATAAGTGAAGAAGATTATAATAGTTATAATGAGTGGAAGAAAGGATTTGTTTTTGACGGTTTATCAACACCTTGTGGGTTATTTAATGTCGAAACATACTTTTTCGAATGCAAGACTAGATTTTGTCCACGGGCAAATACTGTATTAACGATATAAGAATTTTTTTTTTTCGGTAAACTTTAATCTCTGCTCATGAAAAAAACGGTGTGTCCAAAGAAAGGATTTTCTCTTGATACTGCTTTTATTTTTACTAACTTCACTGGGGAGTCACAATGAAGTAATGGATAGCGGCTCAGATTGCGGAATCGAAGAGCAGAGTTCGAATTCCATTCGAATCCATTACCTTCACTTACGTGCTAATACCCTTGGGAAAGGTATGAATTTTCATCTTCTCCCCTCAGCTATGGGTAAATAGCAGGAAAGACCAGGTTCTATAGCCTTGGATGGCAACTGGGATACTGCAAAAAGAAATGGAAACCTACTGCGGGGAAAAATCGAAAGATACATGATCGCCTAAGCGTGTATCATGCATGGCAAATAACTGTTTGATTCCTTGTAGTTCGAATTTCAGTCGAATCCATTACATTCACTTACGTGCTAATACCCTTGGGAAAGGTATGAATCCTCTTCTTCCACAACAGGACAGACCGGTTTCTATAGCTTTGGATGGCAACTGGTCTACCGCAGAAACAAATGGCAACCTGCTGCGGGAAAAAAATCTGCCTCGTCAGTCATGTACCGAAAGATATATTATCGCCTAAGCGTGTATCACGCATGGCAAATAACTGACTGATTCCTTGTTGTTTGAATTTCAATCGAATCCATTACATTCACTTACGTGCAATACCCTTGGGAAAGGTATGAATCCGCTTTTAGATTTTCCCGGGGGAGCAATGGATAGCGGATTGAGGAATCGGAGAGGCGAGTTCGAATTCCAGTCGAATCCATTACATTCACTTACATGCTAATACCATTGGGAAAGATAGGAATCCTCTTCTCCTCCCATCCAGAGTAAAAAGAAGACCAGACCGGGTTCTATAGCCTTGGATGGCAACTGGTCTACCGCAGAAAGAAATGGCAACCTACTGTGGGGAAAAAAATCAGCCTCGTCAGTCATGTATGGATAGATACATGATCACCTAAGCGTGCATCACGCATGGTACATACCTGACTGGCCTTCATTTCCCAGGCAATGTTTTCTTACAAGATTATAAAAATATGGGAACCAAGTACAATGTTATATTTATTATTCAACTTTTATAAAGATTTACTTAATATTTTATAAAGAAATCCTAGAGAAAAGACATAGTTCTATTTCAATTTTTTAAGTTATAAAATTATCAAAATTCGTAAACTTTCTACAATGCAATACTGCCTATCTTCTATCTATAAAAGGTAGCATGTGTGTGTGTGTGTGTGTGTGTGTGTGTGTGTGTGTGTGTGTGTGTGTGTGTGTGTGTGTGTTTGAATGCACGGCCGCAATTTTCGACGGATTTGCACCAAAATTTACATGCACATGCTCAAGTTAACAGGAAAGGCCAAGACCGACTTTGCATTTCCCAACTCCATCGATAGTGGAAATAATCGATTTTTCAAACTTCTACGGCAGTTTCATGTAGTTTGCGGTCATTTTGTACTGGCCAGGTGAGAGCCTATAGCTGGCTGCCACGAATAGGCAGGAAAGATTCTATTAGCCAGCGGAGGCCAACAGCTGACTGACACGAATGTTAACTAGCATGCTAGCATGCCAAAAAATCGATAGCTGCATTCGTCACAAGTGGAAAAATTTAAATCTGCTTGGCACTATACTCAAATTGGCTCATTCGCTTGCTTAAACTCAACGTTGATTCTGATTCCGCAGAACTGGTTTGGGTGTGAAAAAGTATTTGTTGTTAACATTCTTTTTCATTCGGTTTTCAAGTTACGAGTCCTTTTTTAAAGCTGATCGTTTTGTGTTCATTTTGTTTAGTTCTTTTTTTTTTTCATAACAGATTTAATGTTTACTATAGAGCTTACAAAAAATTGGCAGTGTGAGATAGGCAAGAAGTAAGGCATGTAGCAACATCAGCACG